TTTATTTGACAGAAGCAGCGAGAGAGGGAACACAAGCAGGGGAAGTGGGAAAGGGAGAAGCAGGCTTCCCGCTCAGCAGGGAGCCCGATGCGGGGCTCAATCCCAGGACCCCGAGATTATGACCTGAGCCGAAGGCAGTCGCTTAACCAACTGAGCCACTCAGGCGCCCAGTTTTTTAAAACTTTTTAACTGAGAGTTTTTGCTAACTTGAAAAAATACCCTTTAATTGCTCCTCAAAAGGGCAAACAGTTCATTTTCAGAATTTGGAAAGAAAAATAGTTCAGATGATAGCATTTTAAAGTTTATACCAAGGTATATACAGTGTTTGGCTAAGAGTGTTTGCCCTGGAATTAATTATTCAAGTCACTGAGGGGTATCAGTAGTGTTTTGTTAAGCTTGATTCCTATGATAATCTAGTTCTCTGAGAGTAGATGCCATGCCCAGTCATCTGGTCTGCCAAGAGTGCCTTGAATTACAAAGATGCCCAGGTGGGAAGGTTAGATATATAGATGTGTGATAAAACAGAAAAAAAACAAAATGTTAATTGCTGTGTGTGATGTCAGTAGATGTGATGGAGTGTGAGTGGTAACTGGAACTTCTTTCAACTTTTTCATATGTTCAAAAGTTTTCATTATAAAATGGTGGCGGAGGAAAGCTTCTGGAACTGCAGGTTAGGGTGACTTCCTTTACATATCCATTATTTCAGTTGGATGTGGCTCAGTTGCTTTTCTGACAATATTATAATAATTAGGTAACACATTTGGTGGTCTAAAACCCAGGCTTTAACTTTATTTGTGTCTTACTTAAAGTGGTGGCTATGCTGCTGAATTAAGTGTGGGAACATTTTTTAGTGAAAACCACTGTAGAGAAGTGTTATATATTATTACTATTTTTACTCACAGAGGAGTGCTTTTGAGGTGTTTTCTGGCTTCTGAAATGGGGTGGTTTCCTCAGTGTCGTAAGGTTAAATTGTAGGCTTGCCCACCCCCTTATTTGCAGAGTAGTATTCATTGGAAAGCATTCTTCTTTCTCTGTTTTCACAGCCTTCTCCCGTAGTCTGGACTAGGTTTTTAATAAAACGTACACCTTTATGTTGTTACTGACATGTTTCTTTGACCACTTTAGAGTGGTTTCTGGTGTATGGTAAATAATTGCTTACTAAGGGAATGAGTGAAAGCTTAGGAGAAATGGGGGTAGGAATTCTTCCTTCTTTTTCTGTGAGAAACTTCTTATTGCCTCAATTTGGGATTGAATTTTTTGAATGATGTATAAATTATTTGTAGGGTTAATACATTTTTAGAAATTTTAGAGATATTCTAGGAAGATTTTTTTTTTTTGTATGTGAACTATTTATAGTTAGAATCATGTGAGAACAGGGAGTACAGAACAGCTCTCAAGGCAAAGACAGGAGGCATTGATGCCGCTATTGCTGCCATTTTAGGAAAAGATTTCACACCTGCTATCTTTGTGGGTTTTGTCTAGTTACTTTTTCTGAAGATTAATAAAGGCTAAGTTTCTGTCTTCCTGACTAAGCTTTGGAGCACCACAAGTAGAGTGGACGCTAAAGGTAGGATCATACTTTTTTCTTACAAAAATGAGGAGCAGAGCTTTTTCTCCTTGCCTGGTTAACATACTCATAGCAAAAAAGTTATAAACCAATTTGAATGTTTTGGAATAAGAAAAACATGTAGGATTCTGACATCTTTTAACTACAAAGGTGCTAAAAGAAACTTGTGTTTATTGACAGATATGAGCTTAGTTTTAATTAGACATTAAACATTCTGTTTAATTAGCTAACTTAACATTTTGTAGTTGACTAAATCGTTATTAAAGTCCCACCAACCTGATTTTTTTTAAAGAAGTCATGACCTCTGAGCCAGAAGTGAATGAAGTCTGTAGGACTGGACGACTTTGGCCTATAACTTGGAAGGGGAAATATTTGCTTCTACTTTCTAGCTAGCACTACATTTTGGCATGCTGTATCATAGTACATGCCACAAAGTTCCCACTTCTGTTTTCACCAAGTTATGCTAACAATTTCTTACATATGATTAGATTTCCACAATGCAAGTCCTTCTGAGAGAGTAAATAGAATTAGCAGATGCTGTCTAATGAAATAGTCATTTCCAGATACCAGTAGACTGGTGATACTTTTGTGTAATAAGCATTCTGTAAGACAGATTTTCTTTATGAAGAAAATATCTGTCTCCCTTGATCATAGTCTTAAAGTTCTGATGATATTTCTGTGACATTGCCATTCCTCGAATTAACTATGTATGGAAAGCTTAGACAAGTTTAATCCAAGCTTTTTCAAAAACAGTGAGTCTTCTCAAATGCTGTTGACAAAAATAGGAAATGTGCGGAAGGCTTTAGGTTACCAACACCTTTCTTGATCCAGCAGATTTCTTTGAGTTTGCCCCCTTTGTTTAGAATATGAGGAGAGAATGGAATCCATGCAAAAAAGGATCAAGGAAGCACTGTAGCTTGTAGTACTTACAGGTGACTGGAAATGAATGGGGAAAAGAACTGATAGATTTTGTAATAAAGCAAACAGTTTTAATTTTTTAATACTAAATACTTGAGTAGAACTTGTAATACATGTAGAGCTGGAATCAGCAAATTTCCTCTGTAAAGACCAGATAGTAAATATTCTAGGGATTTGTGTGTGATATGTTCAGTGTTGGAGCTGCTCAACTTTGCAGTTGTAGTGTGAAAGCAGCCATTGATGATATGTAAATGAATAACTGTGGCTGTGTTCCAATAAAACTTTATTTATGGACACTGAAATTTGAATTTCGTATCATTCCCACATGTCACAAAATGATTTTTTTTTTTTTTTAACCTCCAATCATTTAAACTGTAAAAATCATTCTTAGCTCACAGGTCATCGCAAAAATAGGTGGCGGGCTGTTGTTTCCCGATCCCTAAATCTCAGTTAGTGATATTGCTAACTAATAAAGTATATGGCATGATGGTGGGCTAAAGTATCTGTTCCATGGCCTAATGTGCTTTTTAAGCACTCCTTACTCCACTCAAGAGGAGTTAAAAAATGTCAAATTTGCTTTTATCTTTGAGGCCAGATGAGGATAATAAAGTAGTAATATGAGAGAACGTGTAGTAAGACTCAAGGGAGTTAGACCACTGATACCCTTAGGAATTTGCTAAAAGCACAAAAATAACACCGTTACATTCAGCAGGCACAGTTCCTTGAACTCAGCAGTAGGAAGAGTGCAGAACTCAGTGGGGATATCTTCTGGATTTTACTACAGAGCTCTTTGAAGATTCTAAATCCATCAGAATCCGGTCATATAGTTTTGTGAGACATTTCTTGGAATGACACCTGAGAAAGTTCCCACTTACAAGTAGAGAAGAAAATAAAATGAAAGAACCTTTGAAGAAATCGAGTACATTTTATTGGCTCTTGCTGCAGCAAATTTCTTGGATCTATTCAGAGATAAACTTAAGTGAAGAAGGCATTGCTACTTAATTTAATCAGCATTTTAAGGATTTAGTGTTGGCAAGATACTTGGAAATGTTGCAAAATACAAAATATTTTCAGATTTTTGATCCAGAAATGTAGGCTGGGATTTTGCCAAGCCTATTCCTTACGCAGTATGATGAGAATGTTTCTTCCTTGCTTTGGTTTCTTCCAGCTTGTAGAGTAGGTGAAAAAAATTGGCTAGCTTGGAAGGAAACACTCCCACTCAAGAAAATAGTTCATATTGTAAAGAATAGAGAAATTTTTCTTGAACCAGATCAATCAAATTTAATGAAGATTAGGCAGAAGAAATGCAGCGTAAGAAGAGGCAGAATCGATTGTTAGTGATAGCTTGGGAAATGCAGCCAGTTGAACAGAATTCTATAGGGCAAAAGTTTTATTTCAGTGGGTTCAAATGGAGTTTGTTTTTATATTTTTATAAATAATATTTTTATACTTTTAACCTTTTGTTTTGAAAATGAGTGTTGTTTTACCCACTTCATATCAGGAAGACATTAAATTTAGAAAACATAACTTTGGTCATACTGACTTTTTTTTTTCCTCTTTAAATTTTTTATTGTTATGTTAATCACCATACATTACATCATTAGTTTTTGATGTAGTGTTCCATGATTCATTGTTTGTGCATAATACCCAGTGCTCCACGCAGAACGTGCCCTCTTTAATACCCGTCACCAGGCTAACCTATCCCCCCACCCCCCTCCCCTCTAGAACCCTCAGTTTGTTTTTCAGAGTCCGTCATCTCTCATGGTTTGTCACCCCCTCTGATTTCCCCCCCCTTCATTCTTCCCCTCCTGCTATCTTCTTTTTTTTTTTCTTAACATATATTGCATTATTTGTTTCAGAGGTACAGATCTGTGATTCAACAGTCTTGCACAATTCACAGCGCTCACCATAGCATATACCCTCCCCAATGTCTGTCACCCAGCCACCCCCTCCCTCCCACCCCCCACCACTCCAGCAACCCTCAGTTTGTTTCCTGAGATTAAGAATTCCTCATTATCAGTGAGGTCATATGATACATGTCTTCATACTGACTTTTTTTCTGTTCATGGATTTTTGTTAGCTGTTGTGTAAATGGGGAGAAAACTTGATAGATGTTAGATGTCTTAAAGTTGGATAGCTTCATTTGAAACTGATAATTGACAGTATTTATAAATAAAATGGGTTGATAAATTTGTGGTGTTTGATATACCCAGACAGGTTGAGATTACTTCTGTGAGCCTTAATAAATAACTTTCTAATGCTAACCTAACTGAGTGAATTTAGATGTTTATAAAGTACTTTGAAATATAAGCAAAAGTTTTAGAGTTTTCCTTTCGTTTTACGGGAAAATAAGCTCTCCTCTTTGGCCTAATTATGAAATTTACATTTGTGATTGGCTAATGAGCTGGAGTGAAATCAGGGAAACTTGGGATGTTAGATTTGAAAATCAGAACGGGCACTGCTGTGTTTTTCACAGGAGCTGATGTGTTCTCTTGTGTTTGACTCTTTTTTCCAGTGAAACCAGCAGTGTGTGTAGCAGCAGTGACACAGGGCTCTTTACCAACGATGAAGGACGGCAAGGTAATCTTGATCCCAGCTTTGGGCTGTTGGTTTGGTATTTCTGGGGAGATTCTAATAATTAGAGGAGTGACTCACTTGAGAATATGGTGGTGGTTTATGGCAGTGGCTCTCAAACTTTAGAGCATTTGAAGGCCACCTGTTAAAATTCCTGAGCTCCTAGAAATCAAATAGGTCTAGAGTTGGCCCCTGGAATCTGAATTTTTCATAAGTACCTGCAGTGATTTTTATGCAGGTAGTTCAGACTTTGAGAATCATTGATTAGGGGAATATAGTGTCAAGGATGGGACTTGAGGAAGTTGCTAATTTTATTAGAACCAAAAAATATCCTTCTGTATTATACTTTTTATTGGATATTAAGACATTCTTATTTTTACATAAGAATTTACTTTTATAACCTTACTTATAAATGAGCATAGTGTTCTAGATGAATATATTATAGAAAACATCTTTATAATGTTAAAACTCCTGAAGTTTAGCATAGAGCACTGTGAATAAGGCTGGTATATGTTAATTACCAGTTCTTTATCTTTATAGCCTAAACAGTAATTTGAAACTTTGTTTTATCCTGTGCACTTGCTTAGGACCACACTAATTGTGTACCAGTAATAATTTCATATAGCTCCTTTGGACTGTAGTTCTGATAATCTAAATAAGGGATTTGTAGATGTCTAAAGTCCCTTTTAGCTCTGAGAGCCAATGATTTTTCTTTAAGGTTTAAGTGACTGAAGGACGGAAGCACAATGGCTATATGTCCAGGTTGATCCAGATAGGCTCCCTAGTAACTGAAGGAATCCTGGGACTGTGACACTCAGGATCCAACTTCTGATTTTGGAGAGAGATCATGGGGCAGGGTATCTGACCTGTGCCTCAGGTGCCTCAGAGTCGTGGGCATGAATGGAGTTGCTGAGCTTCCTCCTATAATAGAGGTTGTGAGTACATTTCTATCCCTTTCTGATTCTGAGGGAGCTATGTGTCATTAGAGGCTGTGTGTGTATACTCCCAGGTAGGGTGCAGCTAAGGTCTTGATTCTGTTGTCTCATACCAGGGAAGTCTGTTTGTCTTTCCATGAATAAACCAGTGCATACTATTCAGAATTACAAATTTTGCTTTTTCTTTGCTTTTATACTGTTCTATGGAGCATCACAATGTGTCTCTCTCTCTTTTTTAAGATTTTATTTATGTATTTGAGCAAGACACAGAGATAGCGGCAGAGAGCATGAGCGGGAAGAGAGGGAGAAGCAGGCTCCCTGCTCAGCTTCTGGGTGCTGAGCAGGGAGCCTGACACAGGGCTCCATCCCAGGACTCAGGGATCATGACCTGCGGGGAAGGCAGACACTTAACTGACTGAGACACCCAGGCGCCCCTCACAATGTGTGTCTTAAAGACTATGATGTGTAATTATCCAGAGGTTTAAGAAAGTGTGGACAGATGAAGTGTTGGGCCTTTGGAAAAACCTTTCTACTGGTAAGGAATCTTTGGTTTATGATGGAAGATTTTAGAATATTCTATAGCCCCAGCTTTCCTCTCTGTCTCAACTTCATGCATTCTGATGATGTTTAGATTCTTGGAGTTCTCAGCACAAAGCTATGTTATTTTCTGCTTCCATGTCTTTTTTTATGCTCGTGTCTTTGCCAGAAATCTCATCCTTACCTTTTCTTGAATGGTGGGTCATCCGCCAAGACACAGTTTTCCTTTTGCCCCTCCAGGGCATATTTATAGACTGAATCAGTGGGGTCTTTTGCTCTCAATTTCTTATGGGGTTTGGCCAATAGGAGGCATTAGCAGAGGAGTGGAGGGAGGGAGGGAGGTGAATGATACTGAGTGTATTAGGCAAGTTTTTATCATGATAATACTGTTTAACAGCCCCAGAATTTCAGTGGTTTACCACATTTATTTCTTGCTGTGGGGCTGGGCGTTGGCTGTGGTTCAGCTGATCTAACTTGAGCTCACCTGGTCTCTAGGCTTTAAATTAGGTTTGTATCTACTCAGCGTATCTTATCATGGGACCTCTCCTAGAGGCTCTGTGTGGCATGGGCTTCTCTTGCTGGAAAACGTGAATGCTAAGTGACCAAACCAGAGCATACATACGTATTTAAAGCTTGTGCTTGAGTCACATCTGCTAATGTTCTACTACCTAAAGCAAGTTATATGACAAGCCAGTTATCAGTGGGATGAGGAAGTATGCTCTCTGCCTCAAGGGGAAGGCTCTGGAATTTCATGATAAAAGGCAAAAGGCATGGATGTATTATCATAGGGAGGTAGTGAAGAGTTGGAAACAATAATGCAGTCTACCACATTGGATTGTCGCTTTCCCTGGCTCCCTTTCTGTTCGGCAGCCTTCTATAACCTCAGTTTTCTCTCTGGTCTCTGATAACCATTCTTTCTCCGTGCTGCTTCAGGTTTAGGAAGGGTAAAGATTCCCCACTGTGCTGGCTCCAGGGTGCTTCACCATCCCTTATTGGTTTCTGTTAATACTGTCTACACTTTTGTAAATAGTCACTTCATTAAAGTCTCGATTATCCCATTTAAATGTGTGTGCATTTCCTGAGGATTCCGACTGATAAACACTCCGTGCAGGTCTCATCTCCTAGAACCCTTACTCTTTCTTTCTCTATACTTAGTGCTTTCTTATCACTTACCATATGACGTTATTGTTTATAGATGTGTGTCTTTTCCATTGAAGCCTTCCAAGACAGGAATTTTTTTTTATTATTTGAAACTACAGTGGGTAACACATTGCCTGGCATATAGTAAACTCTTTAATAATTAGTTCCTGAGAAGGCCAGATAAGGGGGAAATTCTCCTTCTTCTCCCTCAAACAGAATTAGACATAGAACCTCAGATTATAAAACAGCTAAACCTATTTTGGTTAAAGCAAGAGGAGCAGGAAGTCCGGAGCCTGACCCATCAGCCTCTTCCTTATTCTCTGCCCAGTAGTCTTTTGGGGGAACTGCTGTATCATGCATCCTAGTGAACCCAGGGTTGGGGACTACTGGTCTAGATGACTTCACAAGGTTTCCTCCAATGCAGTGAGTCCCTTTTTATATTGCCAGAAATCTTGAGTGAATGCTTGAGAACCAAAAAAATGCCATTATGGGATGCCATTAGTCTTCAGGAAATACGATCTAGCTAACTATCCTGTTTTAATAAATGGCCTAAGGAATGCTTATGAATAAGAAAGGAATTAATATATTGACATGCAGAGAAACTAATCGTTCTTAATTCTGAAGCCTGTCTTTAGTTCATCTTGTGTACATGGTTTGGTGAGGGTAGTGATTCTTAAAATGTGGTTCTGAAATCAGCTTAGCATCACTTAGGGAACTTGTTAGAAATGTAAATTTTTGATCCTTCCCGGACCAGAATCAGAAACTTTTGGGGGTAGGACCCAGCAGTCTGTTCTGACAACACTTTCTGCTCCTTTTGATGTACATTGAAGTTTGAGAACCACTGTCTAGAGAAACAGCTGTTGGTGGTGTGTTTTTATAAGGGAACACTTTGAGTAACTTTTTTACGGGCATTTTCATTTTCCCTTTTAGAGATCTCCAACGTGAGTTAAGAGTTATCATTATCCTGGCTCATGTCAGTGGCCCATGAATCTGATACTTCATGTGCTTAACATGGCCTGAGCAGTTTTCCTTGGGATCCGGCATATATTAGAGAATGAATACACCGTGAATTCTTTAGATGTTCTTGTAGTAATTCCCTTCATCCTTGCTATTTTGAAAGAAGTATGGAGTGGCAGACCTAAAGTTATCTGTCGTACTACTTTTTGTGGGTAGGAACAAGTTCTGTTCCAAACTGAGTTGCTGTCATCCTAGCCAGTAGAAAGAGGTTTGAGCCAAGAGTCTGGCTATATGTGTCTAGTCTTGACTTTGTCACTGATGAAGAATCTGGCCTTGGGCAAATGGTGTAACTTTATGACAAGCCGTGGGGGATTATATTGCTTGTCCCTGTGGTTAGTTTTTTCCTGGTTGCTTGGATTGCTAGTGTCAAGATGATTTTTCTGTCGCATTAATGGGGTACCAAGGAAGAATTGAGGTATAGGTATACATTTTTAATTCACCTATTATGACAAATGCAAATATAACATCCCTCTGGAGTAGCTAGTTTTGAATTGAGAAACATTTGTGGGCTGTGAACCCCCAAGTCCATTTATACCACAGAATGGTACAGAAGAGGCAACTTATTTTTGTGTTAAAGGCTTTGGAGTTAGTCAGGCTTTAGGTTCAAATCTTGGCTTCATCATTTACTAACTTGATCTTGCCTTCTCTGGGCTTTAATTGCTTCATTTATAAGTTGAAATTAGTGTAGGGTTTAGAAGAGATAGTATACTGACAGATTTTTAGCATGGACCCTCATAGGTGGTAAGGGTTTAGTAAATGGTAGCTTTATTAGTTTTTTACTCTCAAAAAAAGTCCAGTGTACCACAGTATGACATTTATGTGAAACTAGTTTGACACTCTAGTTTTCATCATAATACAGATAAAAAAGAAGGATCAAAACAATTTTTTTGTACTTTGATTTTATTTAAAAAGTATAATCAAATCTATAGCTCTGAGAAGTCATCCTCCCGTTTGGTTTTCCATAGAACATGTTAAAATTCCAACTTAACAATACCATCTTTTTACTTTAGGGGATGATGAGCAGAGTGATTGGTTCTATGAGGGAGAATGTGTCCCAGGATTCACTGTCCCTAATCTTCTGCCGAAGTGGGCTCCTGATCATTGCCCTGAAGTAGAAAGAATGGATTCTGGACTGGATAAACTTTCCGATTCCACATTCCTTTTACCTTCTCGACCAGCTCAAAGAGGTAAGTTCTGGAGACCAAAATACACTTCACATTTTTATGGTTCTCTTTGGGGAGAATCATCCCATGGCAAGCATACTCATGCCTCTAAGCATGCATTAACTATGTGAATTTTGAAGCTAGTCCAGGGATTTTTCTAGAAGATTCAAGGGTGAGTCTCAAAGCTTGAGGTTCTCCATTCGTACCTAAATCAACCCATGGAGACTCTTGGGATATCTATTAGCAGGGCATTCCTTCAGCTTGCTATTGCCATTTGTGCCAGATTTAGGAAGCCTAGCAGCGTGTCACTGCTGCTTACCTGCTGTGAAACCGATGGGCTATGGAGTGCTCAGTGGGAGCCTGAAGTATTGGATCTTGGAAGAGAACAGATTTCAGTAAGAACATTCACATACAAGGTATAATGACATTTTTTTAATTGGATGGTTTTAAAATAATTCCTTAAATAATTTTATTTTATTCTATTATTGTGGACTTAAACACAAATACATCCTTTCCTTTTGCTTTTCCTTTACTTATGATATAGCAGGGTAGAGTGGAAAGAGCCTAGGACAGGGGGAAGGAACTGGGGTGATAATACTCTGAGGTACTGTCTTCTAGCTCTGACTGACAGAGTCACTTCATTTCCTTGGGATATGGGGGTCATCACTTAAAATAATTGCGGCTTTGAGCAAACTGTTTCAGGGGTTTCTCTTAGCTCTATAAATTTATGATTCTGGGGTGCCCAGTAATCAATCAGTCATTTATCAAGTATTTGTTGGGCATCTGTTGGTGAACAGAATTGTGCCCAGAGCTGTAAACTCCTATAGCATTTTGTTATGATAAATTTGGGTGATTGAAAGTCCTTCTCAAAACAGTTGGCTCTTGGTAAAGATTATTGCCTGGCTGAAGCACAAATTTGCTATCTTAATAACATGCCTCAAACATTTCAGCGACAATTTCTGAAAGTTCTTTACGGACCACTTAAAATGCACACAAATAAGAACAGGAAGAACAATTTAAAATGGCCTGTAATTCCATACCCAGAGACAGTGTCATTGTTAACACTTGGGTGTGGATTCTTCCAGTTGTGTTTTTTATGTATAGAATACATACAGCAATTAGAAAAATGGGACTATACTATACAGGCTATTATTACTATTATTCTAATGTTTTACTATTATTCTAATGACTTAAATGTTTTTGAAATAATAACTAGCATTTAATTTGTAATTAGAAATTGTTGATAATGCCTTTTATTTGTGTAGTGTTTTCAGTTTATAAAGTACCTTCGCTGGGCTATTTCATTGAGTCTTCACATCAGCCCTGGATGATAGGACTGAGCGAGTGATTATCCCTCCTTTCTAGGTGAAGATGCCTAGGTCAGAGGTAAAGACACACTTAAGATCATACTGCAAAGACAGAATAATAAATCCTTGGCAAAAAGACTAGTGATACTAGTTTAAGAGTCAGTCTATGCACCAAAAATGAATCATGGAACACTACATCAAAAACTAATGATGTAATATATGGTGATTAACATAACAATAAAAAATTTAAAAAGAAGTAAAAAAAAAAAAAAGAGGGAGTTAGTCTAGTAAGATCCTGGGGAGGAAGGCCTTTGGTGTACTAGAAGCCTATCATTGCTAATGAATCTTCTGCATTCCGTTTCTGAGGACTTTCTTCTTTTTTTTAGGGTACCATGCCCGCTTGAATCGTCTGCCTGGAGCTGCAGCTCGATGCCTCAGAAAGGGCCGAAGACGGCTTGTTGGGAAGGTGACTGCTCTTACTGTCTACTGGGCTCACTGGGAGACTGGGAGGACAATAATCCCTGTGGGATTTGTGTACCCTGTTGATGAGCAAAGGTGCTGCAGAATTCCTTGGAGTAAATTAAGCCAACTGAAATATTTTGCAAGTTCATAAGAGTGAGCCTTAATGGAGGCTATAAATGGATACACACGTAAAAGATGAAGCTGAACTCGTACATAAGTTTTGACAAAGCAAATACTGTTATGACAGTTTGTCTATAAATCTACAGGCCTGCTCTTGTCTCTTCTTTCTTTTGATTAACCTTATATTATTATTGTAGAAATTAAAATACTCTTGGCTTCTTTATAACTCCTGAATTCATGAATGATTCTTCTGTCCTCACTTTGGTCTTTTATTCTAGAATTCATTAAAAAGTAAAAAACTGGAAAGAAAACCTGTTATCAGATTTCAAAAGCTTCTCCTTGGCCACATGGGAGGACTCTCTACCATTTATTCAGTTCTGCCTTTGTCAGGGACTGTACTGGGCACTCAGTTCATTTAATCCTCCTAACAGCCTTATAGAACAGGTGATATTCCCACTTAGCAGATGAGGAAAACTTGGGTTCAAAGAAGCTAGGTAATGTCTGATATTACCCAGATAGAAGTCGCAGAAGAGAGGATTGAACCCAGCTGTACTTCTCTTTTATCTTTTAAAATTATTAATTTTTTTGAAGATTATTAATTTGAGAGAGAGCACAAGTGGGGGGGAGGGGTAAAGGGAGAGGGATGAGCAGACTCCTCCTGAGCAGGGAACCACTTAATCCCAGGATTCTGGGATCATGACTTGAGCTGAAGGCAGACACTTAACTGAATCACCCAGGTGCCCCTAAAAATTTAACTAATTTTTTACTCTAGCTTTGAGATAGAAGGTAGGTTAAGAATGGGGCTCATACCTAGTTAGATAGGATGGTGGTGGGCAAAGGGCAATTTCAGAGCATTAATGCGGTCACTGCATAAACATTTAGAATGCCTACTCTGTGTCAGGCTCTGTGCCAGGCCAGGTACATAGGGATCACAGCCACAGCCTGGCTACCCTCAAAGGGCTACTGTTTTGTAGTTGAAATAAGGAACCGTTTTCTGAAATTTTAGCTATGTAAAAGAAATGAAGCTATTTATTTCCAGATGAACTCAGATATTTTTAATCTTTAAATTCAATTTCAAGTCTCTTAATTAGAAAGACATTTGGTATTGGAAGAATGATACCTTTTTCTTTTGCCTCATTGATTTCACAGACATTAAAATGCTGCTTTCACTGTTCTGGGAGTTTATTCTTAGTTAACAGGACAGCTAATACGGTAGGAATATGTAAGGTGGAGGGAGGCAGGAGGTTGGGAATAGGGAACAGAGAGATGGTTTTACTTTTTCTCTTTGTCAGTTAGACTTGAAAGATAATGTTCTACCTACTATCTACCTTACTTTGTTTCAGCTCCTGTAAAATAAGAGCCTTCTACTTCCATGGAAGTAAATCAGTTTGTCTTGAAGGCTCCCTTTAGCTTGCCTGGAAGGAAACTCTAGGGCCTGTTGGATGTGCCTCTAAGAATTTCAGATGAATAGGATAATATTTACTTGTTTAATTCATCTTCATCACCTTAAAGGGATATTTGTCATTTGTAGCAGAGGTCAATGTTCTGCCCCCCTTCTTTCCCCTCCCCCACCCCTCTTCTCTTTTTCTAAATTGTAATCATAAATAATGAGTTTCATTCACAGCTCCCTGCCAACGAACTGCTAATTACGCAAAGTACTGCTTGTAATTTACACAGTAATAAACTGTAAATTTAAACATTACGGCCCTTTAAGTTAATAATTTTTCTGCAGTAACAAATAGCTCATTTTTCACCCGTCCTTTCCCTTGGCCCCACTATTATGGCTGTGTCTGTGACCAGGAGGCATGTGTGTAATGGATGAAGAATGTGAAGAATACAGTATGTGAAACCTTTTCATTTAGCACCACTCCCGCCCAGAATCTGACCTCAAATTAATTTTTCTATAGTCAGTTGTACCCTAATATTTTAGGCTAATCCACACACATAAATGAATACCGATCATAATATTTGCCCAGTAACAGATGTGTTTGAGTAACAGGCTTCACGTTCTTGACATTCATGCCCATGACTTACGCGCTCTCATTTTAACATTTACTCTGATGTGCGTAACTCTTATTCATGTACCATTGGTGCGCTTCCCCAGGTACTGTGATAGACATTCATTGTAAATGTACTCAAGTTAAATAAAGGGTGAGTGCCTTGTGCCATTTTTCAGGTTTTTTGGAGATGATTAGTTTCTGAATTGCTTGTGGTGTTAGGGGTAAGATTTCATATTACAGTCTTAACAACCCTAAATTTAAGAACCAATTTGTACAAACTTCTGCTTTACTTTAAGAGATGATGCTTAAGAGATAAGACAGGGTAACAGTTTTTTTAAGTTATAAATTCCTTTAATATGTGTACCTTTAGTCAGCAGATATTAGGTGTTACCAGTGAGGACTGGGTAAATTTCCCATTATGAAGGCTATTGGGGCTGTAATTGTATGATCTGGGGAGGTTGGTGTGCAGCCTGTTAAGTTCTATATACTTTAATAACTCACTATTAAAATGCTATCTATAGTAAACAAGGTTTGTAATGACTTTTTTGGAACACTAGAGAAAAATAAGTCTAGAATAACATAACACTTTTAAGATAGATTCCCATAAAAAGAAATAAACTTGCTGTTGGATTTTAAGATTGACATTTGACATGTGCCTTTGAGGTTGCTGGCACAGTTACGGGAAAGTGTGAACTTGATGACAGATCATACTTTATTTGTTTCTGTGGTTAGATGACACTCTTGTCTTCCTTGCCTTCGCAGGAGACCAGCATAAGTACTGAGAGAATAGGCCACATCATTAGTGACCCTCGGCAGAAGGAGTAAGTGCTTATATATTTACTCATTATCCTAGCCCATTCCTTGGAGTAGGAGGCAGAGGGAAGTTTTATGAAGGAACCTAGAAGTCTGAGCTGAATGAGATCTTAGAGATTTGTACTTTACAACAGTTAACATGGCTAATGCTCTAATCTCATGAGAGTGATTTTTTTTTCCTTTCTAGACTAATTTTTATTTCTTTGCTGTTTATATGTATGGATGCTTTATAAAAGTAGCCTCCAATTAGGATGTTACTATTTATTTATTTATATTGATTGGGATTGATGTGTAACATTACATAAGTTTCAGGTGTACAACATTGTAATTCAGTATTTGTGTCCACTACAAAGTGATCACTATAAATCTAGGTGCCATACATCAGCTTGAAATGGAGCCCTTTCACCCACCCCTCAACCCCCTTCTCCTCTGGGAACCACTAATCCATTCCTTGTATCTATGAGTTTGTTTTGTTTTGTTTTATTCTTTCATTTGTTTTGTTTTTAGCTTCCACATATAAATGATATCATACAGTATTTGTCTTCTTTCTCTGACTTATTCATTTAACCTAATCCCTCAGGGTTTGTCCATGTTGTCACAAATGGCAAGATTTCCTTCTCTTTTATGACGGAGTAGTATTCCATTGTGTGTATGTATATTTTTGTATACACCACATGTTCTTTATCTGTTGATGAACACTTAGGTTGTTTCCATATCTTGGCCATTGCAAATAATGCTTCAGTGAACATAGAGGTGTATATATCTTTTCAAGTTATGTTTTCATATTCGTTGGATAAATATGCAGAAGTGGAATAGCTGGATCATATGATACATCTATTTTTAATTTTTTGAGGAATCTCCATACTGTTTTCCACAGTGGCTGCACCAGTTTACATTCCCACCAACAGTGTACTAAGATTCATTTTTCTTCACATCCTCAACAACACTTGTTATTTCTTGTTTTGTTGATAATAGCCATTCTAACAGGTGTGAGGTGATATCTCATTGTGGTTTTGATTTTCATTTCTCTGAAATTAGTGATACTGCGCATCTTTTCATGTGCCTGTGGGCCTGTGTGTCTTTGGGGAAATGTCCTTCACGCCCTCTGCCCATATTTTAATTGAATTGTTTGGGATTTTTTGTTGTTGAGTTATGTGAGTTCTTTATATATTTTGGATGTTAATCCTTTATCTGATACATGAATTGCAATATCTTCTCCCATTCAGTAGGTTACCTTTTTGTTTTATTGATAATTTCCTTTGCTGCACAGAAGCTTTTTAGTCTGATGTCCCATTTATTTTTGTTTTTGTTTCCCTTGCCTTTGGAATCAGACACCCCCCCCAAAAAAAAATCAAAAGAGACCCATGGCAAGGAGCTTACCACCTATGTGTTCTTCTAGGAATTTTATGCTTTCAAGTTCTACATTCAAGTCCTTAATCTGTTTATTTTGAATTAATTTTTGTGTATGGTATGATAGTGATCTAGTTTTCTTCGTTTGTATGTGACTGTTCAGTTTTCCCAATATCACTTATTGAAGAGACTGTCTTTTCCCCATTATATATTCTGGCCTCTTTTGTTGTAAATTAATTGACCATGTTTGCATGGGTTTATTTCTAGGCTCTCTCTTCTGTTCCATTAATCTATGTGTCTGTTTTTATGCCCATACCTTAGTATTTTGGTTACTATAGCTTTGTAATATAATTGGAAACCAGGGAGCGTGATACCTCCAGCTTTGTTCTTTCTCAAGACCGCTGTGGGTATGCGGGGTCTTTTTTGGTTCCATACAAATTTTTAGAATTATTTGTTCTAGTCCTGTGAAGTATGCCATTGGGACTTGAATCTGTAGGTTGCTTTGGGTAGTATGGACAGTTTAACAGTGTTAATTTTTCCAGTCCATGAGCACAGAATATCTTTCCGTTTATTTGTGTCTTCAGTTTCTTTCATCAGTGTCTTGTAGTTTTCAGTGTTCAGGTCTTTCACCTCCTCAGTTAAATTTATTCCTGGGTATTTTATTCTTTTTAATATAATTGTTAATGGGACTATTTTCTCATTTCTCTTTCTGATAGTTCATTATTAGTGTAGAGAAACACAACAGATTCTGTACGTTGATTTTGTATCCTGCAGCTTTGCTGAATTCATTTATCAGTTCTAACAGTTTTTTGATGGAGTCCTTAGGGTTTTCTATGTATGGCATCATGTCATCTGCAAACTGATAGTTTTACTTCTTCCTTTACAGAATGTTATATTTTAAGCTAATTTTTCTGTCTCTTAAAATTTTTTTTGTTCAAAATGCCTCTGTATTCTCCTATAGGCTGCTTTTCCCATTTTTAGACCTCTATCTAGAGAAATATCTTTTTGTCTTCACTACTGTGGACATGCAACTGGAGAGTCTGTGTTATAGGAAAAGTACCCCCCCTTTCTTGTGAGAGCCTTGTCCCCTCACATGATTGGCTATTTGATGCCCCCTGTGTACTTCATGGTTAATATCTAGTTCTGATACTATACTCATTAGCCTGGTCAAGTTTGTCATTTGTGAGTATGTTTTGTGTTCTTGTTGAATTTGGGGATCCTGTTGTCACTACACAGGTGAGAGTATGTTGGTGGGTTTGTTTTTAGAGAGTCCAGTGTTTTACATTTCATTATAAGGCTTTTTCCTTTGGAGAGTTATTTTTCACAAAAAACGTTTGTATACATTTACCATCCCTCTCCTTTCCTCCTTCAGTTCCTTCTTTTCCCCAGTTCGTTCTTTGTTACCCCAGCATCTTTTTTTCTGCTCCTCCTCTGTAATTTCCAGTTGCTGCTTTTATTTTCTTTCTGTTGTTCTCTCCCTCTCTTTAGTTTCTGGTTACCATCAGCTGGGAAAAGAGAACGAAATCAGGTAAGATTGCTTTTCTTTGTCATCTTTATTTTATCATTTGATTTCCTTTTCTTTAGAAAGAATAAAGCATTGGCTTCTGATTTTCCTCACATTTCTGCTTGTGCCCATGAGGTAAGGTCCTATGTTACGGTTTTTTTTTTAGAGGACTGTTGTCTAAGATTATCTGATATTGATTGATAAGAACTATAGCTAATTCCCTTTTTTAGGTTCAACTGTGGTTTTTTTTTTTCTGTTTATTACTTGTAATGCATATTTCATAGGGATCCTATTTTTATTTTAGTTTTGAACTTTGCAGTAAGAAATCAGAATGAACTTCATTGGTTTATGGTTCAGTTCAGCACCAGCATCCTACACTGAGAAGTACAGTGGTGAGACCTGAGCATAAGAAACAGGAGGGGGTGCTGCTGGGAGTGAAGTGGGGTCAAGGCCTTAGAGCCTTGCCCGCTTAGTCTCTTAGTCTCTTCCCTGGCTGCCCCTGGAGAGGGCCCTTGGCAAATCTAGGCCTTTACAGGGGTCATAATTTAAAAATTACTGACGGTGGCTATCAGTATGTTCCTTTAATGTTTGCAGCTTTTGATTTTTGTGGGGATAGAGGTTGCTTTATCTCGATTAGGTATAAGATAGGTGAAGACTGGTAGGTAGAAATCTCAGGCGTCCTGTTGCTCAGCAGTTTTTATTTTGTGTTTTGACTCCTTAGGACTTACTAAATTGACGTACAGTTTAGACTTGGACCCTTCCTTTTGAAGTTACTACTTCAAAATGAGCTAGAGCAGTGGTACACCTAACTGGTGTGTACTTAGGAGATGATTTTAGATGGTGTGTGGACATATGATTATTACTTTAAGTTGTAATTTGTATTAGAAAAAAATATAATCATTCTATCAATCTTGTTGTTTCATAGAAATAGGACAAGGTTGAGTAAAAATAATTGGTATGAAGAAAAATACTGAGTAAATATAGTGCAGGTGGTGAGCAGATACAAAGTCATTAAGGTGGTATGTGAGAGACAGGAAACCAGGGTACTGATCATGTTTGCATCAGAGGATCGAAAGACAGAAGAGGGCCTACGGTGATCATCTAGTCCAGATCTGTTACTTACAAATGAGAGTTCAACGATTTGCCCAGAGTCAGACTTCTTTGTAAGTTCTTTTGAAATTATCATTTAGAGTTCTGGTCTTAAGATATATTTAGTACTGAAATTTGGGGGAAGGATTATTTATTCTGGGAGAAGTCCACAGAAAGCTAGAAAACAGAAAATAAGGTATTTTTTTGATATTGTATCCGAGTTTGATCCTCACAACCACCTTTTGAGATAAATAGAAGTTTTACAGAAGAGAAATTAGAATTACAAACTGAAAGCAGTATTTAATTTAGTCCCCACAGCAATCCTGTAAAATAGGTAAGATAAACAGTACGTCCATTATACAGATGAGGATAGTAAAGTTCAAAGGAAGTATGTAGTTTTTAATGTATGGCAACTCAGGGGTAGGCTGGAATTAAATGTTAGGTATTCTTAATCTAGTTCTGTTTCTACTAACAATGGCTGCTGGTATGTGTTAACCAGTTATTTACTGGAAACATTGACCAGGATAAGGAAATAAAAGGTCATTTCATGCTAGTTTTCTTAGGAACAAGGACTTAATAATAGCGTAATTTCCTGTTTTGTCAAATAGAAAGTACTATCTTCTGCCATTTAAGTAATTGTCATGTATTAGAAGTTTTTGAAAAATTGTTACTTACCAAGGAATAGTCTTTTTTGAGGTGTGCGGGATGAGTATGCTATATTCATGGTTGCAACTTTACCGAATGGTATCTGCGGTATGGTAAAAGTCAAACGGTCAAAGGGGCAAAGTAATCAAACAGCAGGCCACTCTTTAGGATCAGGTCTTTTTCATATAAGCTTTTCTAAAATAATCTCATTTATTCCTGCAGTTTAATCCCCTGTCTCCCCTTTACTCCTTGGATGTTCTCACTGACGCCTCTCACCGAAGATGTTCACCAGCACACTGCTCTGCCAGGTAATTGTCTTCTGGTGACGGTTTTCTTCCAGACAGTACCCTTCCTTTATAACACTCTTCAAGTTATAAAGTATATTTGTATATAATATCCAATTTGATCTTTCAACAACCTTTAGAGACTAGTAGATGTTTTACAGATACAGAAACCAAGGCAGTGTTGAAGTATCTTTCCTATGATCACATGGCTAGTATGTGATTTAAGTCTCAATTGTGACCTAAGTCTTCTGACTTGTATTAGAACATGGATTCTTTTTTTGTTTTTTTAACAACATGGGGCTTGAATTCACAACCCTGAGATCAAGACCTGAGCTGAAATCAAGAGTCAGATGCTTAACCAGCTGAGCCACCCAAGCGTCCCTATGTCTTCTGACTTGTATTTCCTATTTCTTCGGCTAAAAGCCCCATCTTCAAAGAACATTACTAATGGTCCTTGTCTTGACCTGCAAAATTCTGTGTAATTTGCCTTCTGCCTGCATGTCCAGCCTCCTTTCCTATACTTCTTTCTCCTCACTAGGGTAGAGGTCCAGCTGTGCCAGGGAGCTCAGCTCCATTTTGTTCATCAAAAATAGCAACCTTCTCTGCCCCTGAACCTTCACACTTGTTCCCTTTTGTCTGGAGTCCCATGCTAAGCCTCTTCTCACGGTTGGCTACTTCTCATCTCAACTCAGAGAAGACCTCTCAGACCATCCTATCTAAAGGGGCCACCTCCACTGCTCTCTGCTCATCGATTTCTTTCCGCTAAAGCTTTATCACAGTCTATAATGAATTTGCTTGTTGGGTTCCCCCCCCACAACTTTTTTCTCCTGTCTCACTAGGATATAAGCTTCATAGTGTGGGCACTTTGTTTAGTCTTGTTCCCTGATAATATCCCCAGCACCTAACATAGTGTCTGGCACTTGCTAGACATTCGGTATGTATTTGTTAGAATGAATCCTTTGCCAATGTGGCAGAATGAATCCTGCATTTTTCAATAGAAATCCTCTGGAGTTAGATGACATGGGAAGTAAACATGGTGTTACTGGTAGCATCCCCTAGCAGGGTTATTGTGCACAAAAGAGGAGCTGATAGGCTGAACCATAGAACTTTTATTATTTCTAGTGGCACAAAGGATTTCTTTCCAAGGTTCTGATGTGGTGGGGTTTTTTTTTTTTTTTCCTTTTGTTAATTCATTCTTAAGTGGATATGTTCATAAATTGGTGTGCAAGCACAGGAAATTATCCTTTCACAGATCCAATGAGAACTTCCACTATGGGCTATAATGATAAATTCTGTCCCATAACCTATTGCCAACTGCCAAACCTTCTACTGGACAAGTAGTAATAAAGTAATAAATTACTTCCATAAGGCCTTCTCTTCAGTAGTGTGCTGTTTGTTCATCGTTCACTCACTCAGCACTTGCTGACTCCATACTGTGCACTAGGCTCTTTGTTCAGCTACTACCCTCAGGAGCTTCCATTCTCTTGAGAAAGCCAGGCGTGGAAATCAGCAGTACAGTGTGAAGTGACAGGTGTGTAAAAATGTACACCAGAATGATACAGAGCCCAGAAGGGAGGCTTCTAAGTCAGAGGCTCAGGGAAATTTTCTTAGAGGTGGTGATCCTCAAGCTGTCTTGAAAGACCCAAGATTTCAATGCATAGGAAAGCAGTCCTCCAGCTTTTTGTCTTAATCCCACATGAAATAATGGCTGTGTATATTCTTTGGGAAGATTATATGAATAGCCCCATATCCTCTCAGATGCAGAAAGTGGATTCTTTGCCCTCCTCCCTTTACTTCTGTTACCTAAAGCTGTGCCTTACTGTTTTGAGATCAGTATCCATGCTTTTATCAGGTTTCCTCTTGCTTCTCAAGCCTCATGCTGCCTGGAGTGGGCGTCAGCTTTTGTTTCGTTACGTATCTTACTGTCCATGTCATTGTCTTCGTTCTCCTGCCAGCAGTGCTTGTGGTCAGACTTGGAAATGTGAGGAAGTCTAGGCTGTGCTTCCAGTGCAGTCAGCTCTAGGGAAATACTGCTTATTGCTTTAGCCCACTGCTACAAACAAGGTGAGAGAATGTGGACAATTCTAGCTCATCTTTGTCCTTCTTGATGTCATTCCCAGGGCAGTGGATACAGAGTGGGTTGCATTCTTTGGGGGTAGGGGAAGACTTTTTTTAAGATTTTATTTTATTTTATTTTATTTTATTTATTTATTTATTTGATAGAGACCTAGAGAGAAAGCACGGATAGGCAGAGTGGCAGGCAGAGGGAGAGGGAGAAGCAGGCTCTCCGTGGAGCAGGGAGCCTGACACGGGGCTCGATCCCAGGACCCTGGGATCACGACCTGAGCTGAAGGCAGCCACTTAACCGACTGAGCCACCCAGGCGCCCTGGGGAAGCCATTTTTTAAATTTCAGTTTATCTGATCCTTAAAAAATGGTTTTTTGTTTTAAATTGTACATAGAGACATCCAGTAGCACATATTTTTGTTTTATGTATATGTATTACATACATAAAGGGTGTTTGTGCAAATGTTTTACTCATGAGGGAGCAGTCAGTAAAGTTTGGCAGCCATGGCTCTGTGGGAAATGGTCTGCACAAGCAACCTCTAAGCAATTTTTAGAAAATGTGGGTGATGAAACCCTGAGCCCTCAGGGCATCCTCTCACTGCTTTGAAGTTGGGGAGGAGGGTGGTCCCTGCCCAGCAAGGGGTCAGTTGAGAAGGAGCCATTTAGCTTGGGTGTGGCTGAAGGATAAGATGGGCTTCGGAGCTGGATGGTTGGCTTTGCAGAGTGGACACCATTTAACAAAGCCTGGTGTCTAGCAAGGAATGTTAAAGAGCCATGGTGGCAGGGAAAAGGCAGGTGAATGACTGTATTAAAAACTGTTTCGAATGGAAATTTTATCTTTTTCTTGTTCCATTTTATTTGTAGTAGGAAAAGATTTCTTTCAAAGCGTCTGGGCAGCCTTGGGAATTTCACACCTATCATTAGAACGGTGTGTGTGTGTGTGTGGTGACTATGTTATCATTAGTGGTATAATTTTATTTTGCGAAGAGAGAAGTGTTTCCTGTTTTATCACAGCTTTCCCCGAGGAGGGCTGGTGTATTAATTTGCTGTATTGCCTCCTGGCTGTTCCCAGGCTGTTTTTCCTCTTCATCATGGAATTTTTAATGGCCCTGGTGCCTCTTGGGAAGCATGTGAGGAAGAGTTCCTCAGGGAGTGCTTCCCTTTTTTCACATGCCTATAATTACTCTCCTTTAAGAGCACAAAGAGTTTGATAATCATGCCTGAACTGTGAAGGTTTCCTCTTCTCGGGTTACTGAGCTGAGGCTGCTTCCTGCCTGGACATCCCTGTTCCGCTCACTGGAACACTCAACTGCAGGAGACTGAGGACCCCTCAGCCACCCTCTTCACTGCTGGAGCCAGTCAGCTCTGGTTCTCACAGTGAGGCCTGGGGCTCACGGCGGGGGGGGGAGGGCATGAGTGACCTCAGGGACTCTCGTGTTTAGTGTTTAATTGCTATAAACAAGGAAATGATGGGACCATGATTTTAAGAAAACACTTTATTGATGTATCATTTTAATACAGCCCCAGATGGCAGGTGCAATGGATGGGCGAGGGAGTCTTTGTGGTCTTTGTACCACCTAATAGATTTGTGGGTTGTGAGGTTTTCAGAACTGCCACCCTAGAAATACTTAAATTTGGTGTTTTTCAACTCTCACTGCACTTTTGAATCACCTGAGAAGGTATAAAAATATAGCCATGCTGAGCCCCACCCCAAAGATTCTGACTTAACTGATCTGGGATGAGGCCCAAGCATTGGCATTATTTTTAAGTGACTCTAATACGCAGCCAGGGTTACGAACTGTTGCCCTAAATGCATATGATTTTATGGCTGGTGCTTTGTAATTTTCTTAATAGGAAATCCCGTTTTGTAATCAGCATGAGCTCTGTGATTTGGTATTGGGTGCATGAGTTCTTATGGGACGTGGAATGGTGGACTTCAGTTTGGAGGACTTCTGAAGTGAAGAAGAGAATGTCAGTGTCTAGCACAGTGCCCGGCACATAGTGATTGATGGACGGACTTGCTGGGTAGGTGTTTGGATAGTTGGCAGGGTGCATGGATGAACTTCGTAAACCAGCTGTTTTGGTTTGGTTGTTTTGGTTGCTGGTATTGGGATGTTGTATTAAAGTAGTAATACTTGTTATCGGCCTTAGGAATTGCTGCTGCTCAAGCAGCAGGTGGTGTGATTGGTGTTTGGGTAGCGGCAGTGTATTGCTGTCAAGGACACAGTTCTAGAATGGTAATAAGAGCTAGTGCTGGAGGCAGCTTTTCCCAAAATGAGAGATTTATTGATTGTGAAGGATAGCTTTTCTTACCATGATTGCTGTAGAAAACCATTACTAGAACTTATCAAACGCTACATCTCTCTGTATGATGCACAAGTCACCAGTTGTGGTTTTTGAGTGTCTCGTGGCAGTTTTGAGTTTTCTCCAACTTTCCTTACCTTTCCTCTCTCGTGGGTGGTGATATGGTGGTGTATCACCACTTCCGTTTATTCCTTCTTTAAGTTTTTAATCTCACCTTAGTGGGTATTAGTGTGAGGCAGTCCCCAGTAAGAATCTTGGCTTTATCTGGGCAAATGACTTAACATCCCTATACCTCGATTTTCTTATCTTTAAAATGGAAATACTCATTTTTAGTGGGCTAGTGGGGATCAAAATGAAATCATGTATTTGACTACTTAGCATGCTGGAAGCTAATATGACTATTTTTGTTACATTCCCACTACCCCTACCTTGTCCTTAGGATAGTTGCAGTTTTATAAACTTCAAGTTGGCTTCCAGAGTCATTTGCTAATGAGATGTTGTATAGATTCTTGAGGTGCTTAAATAGCCTCAAATGGACTATAAGAGGAGGCGTTTGGACAGTGTTTGGGTAAAAAAGAGAGACCTTCCTGCCCATCAGAGAGTTGAAATATGATAGGCTGTGCTCATTGTAATTCATTTTATCTGTTCACAAAC